ATCCAGCAGTTTTCCTGGTCTGCTGGTGGGCTGCCCTGCCAGCCATCAGCCTGAATACCCCCAGCCTCATCCATTCAGAGGCAGAGAGTGTCTAAGCTGGGCTTTAAAAACTGCTTTGCAGCCTCAATTAAGGGTCCCATCCATTTCAATCCGTTAGAGAAACCACCACTCCCTCTTAATTGCTTTACAGCTGAGAAAGCCAAAGAAAGAATGCTTATTAAGCATTTTATCACCACTACAAGGCTGGTTCGATTTCCATTGGTTTTTATTGACTTAAACCCCTAGAGGACACTGGTTTGGTTCAGATCTCTTCTGGCATCCTGTGAGCTAGGTCTGCTCAGGACCATCATCTAAAACTGGCCCAGCCTAGCCCCAGCAAAGACAACAGGCAGCAAAGGAATAGACACTGCCATCAAGCTCTTTATTCCCAGGTGCTCCTTGCCAATACCTCTCCTCACCACCATGTCCTGTCTCCTGCATCTATCTGCAGATCCCTCACATGACATTTTTCTGGAGAAGCTGTTTCCCCACCCATCCCCAGCCACAACTCTCAGCGCTTCAGTTCCTGCAAGAGTCTTTTGGAGAAGTTGGCCCCATTATGTAGTGATGGTAACCAGTGAGGCCCAGAGAAGCTGTGGATGCGCCATCCCTGGAGGGGTTCAAGGCCAGGCTGGATGGGGCTTGGAGCAACCTGGTCTGGTGGGAGGTGTCCCTGCCCAGGGCAGAGGGGCTGGAACTAGATGGTCTTTAAGGTCCCTTCCAACCCAAACCATTCTATGATTCTATGATTACATAGTGATGGTAACCAGTGATAGCCACATTTTACGCTTCTTTTTCCCCACAACAAAAAGTTCAAGCTCTCTTCAGAAAGACAAACATTCTGCTCTGTGTTTAGAAGCACCTAAAGCACAGAAATCCAATCCATCTCTCCTAAAATATTATAGCAACAATGAACCATAAATACATTTATATACACCCTACTTGCTTTTCCTCTCCTAAGGATAGGATAAGTCTTAGCTAATGTTTATCCATCACGTCCACCAAACAGCTAGCAGACAGAATTACAAGTTTTGTTTGTATGTAAAACTTACACAGAAATTAGCTCACAACCACAGAAGGGGAGACATTAACAGCACTCCTACAATAAAAATCAAGGGAGAGATCCTCAACAAACACATCTTTTAGAGCACCACTGACGTGCCCAAGAAAAGGACTCTCCCCTTCCTCTAAACCTCCTCTGCTTCAAAAAAACCACAAGCTCTGACTAGAAACCTTCTTCCCTCCTGGCATAACACAATGGATTCACACCAACTGACTCCAGCTAAATGATAAAAAAATTAAACACTTACCTCCTTAACAGCTGCAGTCTTAGACTAGATGTCTCCAAGACCATCCTTGCCTGCTATGATCTAATCTTCACACACCTAAATACCTACTAGTTTCTGGCTCATACTCTTACACCAGAAGCTGACCACCCATAACAAGGTTTTTCTTCTTCAGTCACTTTTCAGCTGTTTCCTATCACTCCCTTTTGCTTTAAAGCATCACCAGCTGTGCCCCAGGAGCCCTGATTTTGCTATTTGAGACACTTTGTCTCTTTAGGGTGGTTTTTCCCCATCCTTTCTAAGCTAAAAAGCTGCTTGAATCTTTTAGGAGGGAAAAATTCCCTAGTACATCTTGAATGGTGTCAATTTTTTAACCCAATAGATACTAGGTAAGATTTTGAGTGTTCCTGTATTATTTTCTATTTCTGCTTCATTTACTCAGTTGAAATTTCAGGTGGAAATGTCCTTGGTTCAGCAGTGCTGGTGTGTTTGAGGGGAAGGGAGAAGAGCTGCCCCAAGCAGGAGAGGCTGAAGGCAAAGATGAGATCCCACCTGAGTCACAATGAGCTCTTTGGGGTTTTTCCAGCTCCGTTCCATGAGAGAGGTGTGAGCAGCTCTGAGGGTGGTGAGGACATGCCCAGCCTGCCCAAAGGCAGTGGCCAGGCTAAGCAGATTTCCCCACATCATACTTAGACCTCCGAAGTTTCTTTCAGCTTGCAGCATACGAGCGCATGAGCTGAGCCTTTGTGCTGCCATTTTCACCAGAAATGTCCTCGTGTCACATCTATTCCTCAAGTCCAGGCCAAAGGATGCACCAAGAGAGTAGGAGTAGCCGTATGGTCCTCCATACTCTGCCAGGGAGGGCTTGAACTGTGTTCTAGCACAGTCTTTGAGGAAGACAGAGACATTACATTCATAGAAACATAGAATCATAGAATGGTTAGAGTTGGAAGGACCTTAAAGATCATGGAATTCCAACCCCCCTGCCATGGGCAGGGACACCTCCCACCAGACCAGGTTGCTCCAAGCCCCATCCAGCCTGGCCTCGAACCCCTCCAGGGATGGGGCAGCCACAGCTTCTCTGGCCAACCTGTTACCACCTGTACCAGATTGGTACCTTTAAAAATATCCTTTCAGGCAATATAACAGCTGGAAGCAACAGGCAAGAGTCAATACCATATGTTTGGATTATACAGCAACGCCAGAGCTGGCCTTCTGCTGGCAACCATTTGAGATCCAGTGCCCGAGGCCGTTGCATTAGTCAGTTAAAATAGAGCTTAATGCCACCTTACTTCACACGTGCACCGATTCTCCTCATGTCAATTACAGTTGCATGTTGCCTAACCAAGGGCAGCATGTGGTCCACAAATTGTTTGCATGCCCTGTAATTTATGCTTTTTGTATTGTGTAAAAAAAAAAAAAAAAACAACAACCACAAAACCCCTCAATCTATCAACCGTGGTGTTGGTTGCAAAATGTCTTCTCCTGTAATTACCCTGATTGTTTATGCCGCCGTAACGTGTCCTCAGAGGCTGAGCAGTGTAAAAAGATTGATACACCCCAAAAGTGTAAATGGCAATTAGGGAATTTCATCAGGTGCTGAGTAAGACGGAATGTTTGTCATGTTTTAATGCTAGGTTTCTCCCTCTTGTTGAAACACTCAGATCTCAGCTGTTACGGGAAACCTGCGTGGGGACAGCCCAATGAAAATCAGCCTAATTACCATCCAATATGCAGAGTAAACACTCAGCTCTCTCACGTGTTCCCTTTGTAGGGTGTCTATTTTTGTCAGTTTGGTTGACGGTTGGACAAGATGATCTTTAAGGTCCTTTCCAACCTAGAAGATTCTGTGATTCTGTGATTAATTTTAATAAAGGGACTAAGAACTACGGAGTATTCACCGTAAAAGTATCGTGAGTGGGTTTATGCATGGAGTGATGTGTGTGTAAAGTCATGCCTCTGGCATGTGGCGACACCAGGACTGGCCATGAGCTGGAGATAAAAACCACCCGGATGCAGATAAAGCACTTGCATGGAAGCACGGTCCACGGAAATGATGGAGCTGGAGCGTGGCCTGGTGTTCCCTGGTGTCCGTACGGAGCCTACTCTCCCTCACGCAGCTTTTTGAAAGAGCAGAGTTTTGCTCAGTCCCACTCACTGTTTAAATTTAACCAAGGGGGTCAGATCCTTTGCTCCTGTGCGTTGGTTAAACTACTGCCACTGGTACCCCACCAGTCTGCACCCACAGAAGATTTCCTGCAAATCAAAGAACAGCCTGTCTTGGTGGCATGATCAGCAGATGTTTGGGGACCTGCTTGGGTGCCCACCACTACAGGGCAAGCTGAAGAAAGAGATGCTGAAGCATTTAACCCCGCGTTTCTGACTAATGAGAACCCCTCATGGTGGTAGGCCTGGCGCAGTTAGATGCAGTGTCATCGAGAATTTGAAACTGGGGGAAGTGAAGGTGAAACTTCAGCAGAGGGCAAAAAAGCAGAGGAGCAGCAGCAGGAGCCATGGACAACATGGTTAAGTCACAAGCAGAGAGGAAGAGGTCTGAGACCAGTCACAGGAGCAACTAGGCAATTAGCGTCATTGAACATTTTCACAGAATCACAGGGGTTAGAAGGGACCTCTGGAGATCATCTAGTCCAACCCCCTGCCAGAGCAGGTCCACCCAGAGCAGGTTGCACAGGAACATGTCCAGGTGGGTTTGGAATGTCTCCAGAGAAGGAGACTCCACCACTTCTCTGGGCAGCCTCTTCCAGGGCTCTGCCACCCTCACAGGAAGGAAGTTCCTCCTCATGTTTAGGTGGAACTTCTTATGGTCAAGTTTGTGCCTGTTCCCTCTTGTCCTGTCACTGGGCACCACTGAAAAAAGACTGGCCCCATCCTCCTGACACCCACCCTTGAAGTATTTATAGGCATTGATCAGATCCCCCCTCAGTCTCTGCAAAGAGTGTGGAAATGTGGGGATGGATGGCACAACCTGCACATTGTCAACCTGGATAAGCTTTGATTTACGTTCTAAGAAATACTTCTGTTACCTTCATTTCACCAAAATACAGTGTTGTTGGGAATAACAGTTGCTTTTGGGGCTGGTTCCTCACCTACCGTTAAGCTTATAGTTAGGAAGTCTAATTAGCCTTTTTAATAATCTTTAAGGTGTTTAAGGACTACTTTTTATTTCTCTCCATCTGCTTAATTTTAAGCTAAAAAAAAAGAGAGCAAGATAGCTATTTTTGCCCACTTATAAACGAGACACCACTCACATCATGAGATAAAAGAAGAATTTTGTAAACACTCTGTTGGCCATCTTTCACGTAGAAGGGAGAAATCTGAGCCCAGCACAATAATACATATAATTTGCTATAACTCATCATGCATCCTGTTGTTAAAACAGGCTTCCCTCTCCCATCCTTACCTTTGCTGAGGATGAGTCTGCAGAGCCCCGCCAGAAGATATCTTGACCTACACAATTGCACCGAGCAATTGGCTTTATTTTTCTTGATATGAAAATCTCTCACTCATGTGAAAATGTCAGACACAGAGGCCTCCGGTGGTTTCTTACCTCATTTCTTGTACAATGCATCAGCTCAGACTAGAACTTGTCCACGTACTTATTTTTCTGCAAGCTTCTGTGATATGTATATAAACAGATACTGTGAAAAGATCTTATTTTTTTAAAACTTCTCTTTATTTTTACATTCAATGCATGAGGACAGACAAGATGAATGTTCGTGACAAAGTATAAAGCCATATATTGTCCTCAAACCAGTCAAAAGGTATAGTGTTTAAGAGTTTAAAAAAGTATTATAGAAACCTTTGTCTTTCCAAAATTCCTCATTACAGAAAAATTCAAATCTTTTAGAAAAGTAGAGTTTTATATCCTTGTGCATTAAACCATATTATGAAAGTATGTAGGTGGTTTTCATCCTTACTTCAAGAAATCTGTCTCTGCATTGCTAACAATCTTCACGTAACCCATTGACGGAGCCAACAGCCTCCATAATACGCAGTATACACAGTTACAAACAATTTGAAAAGTTATATTACAAAATATACAGTAGTTCCTTTTTACATTTTTATAGATAAACATTGCATAGTTTTCAAGTATGTAATATATAACACAATCACGAGCCTTTTTCTGTATAACTTACGAAAAATTCTGTACACTCAAATAATTATAAATAAAGTGTAAATATCTTTTGGTAAGAGTAGGAGGGGGGGAGGAGAGAAATATGCCAGGACATGTCGTCAAGTGTTAAACAGAAATCTTTGTCAGAATCTGCCTAAAACAATAGCCCAATATTGCCTGGAGCAAGGAGAGAGGAGAGTAAGAACGGCATAAGTCGTAGGGGAAAGTTACAGTGAGGAACCATAAAGTATTGATAAAGTAATAATTAATTATTACCCTGATTCTTTTGTAAGATCTGCTTTCCCACAGCTATTATCACTGCGCCTGATGGTTTTACCATCACGTTATTTAAGAAACAAGTAAAAGGAGATTAAAATGGTTCCTGTTTCAATGGTGATCAATGGAAAGTTGAGGTAACTTGGAAAGAACTCTGGATATATTTCCCATCTTTTTCCCAAAGAAACAGAGCATGAGAAATGCATGCTGGGATTTAAAGAAATAAATTAATTCTGGAAGCATCCAGAAATGTGAGAATAAAATGAAGAATTACTGAAGATGTCAAATTTCCACTTTAAAAATGAGATGCTGACAAAATTCTGTTTCAACTATAGGAAGGAAAAGGAAAATAATTTCTAAAAGAATAGTTTGGCATAACTCTGCTCTCTGCTACTAAACCCCAAAAGAGCAGAACTATACCAAAACTAGATGCTTTTGGAAATTCACTCTGATCCTAAGCATTTTGTCACTGGCTCACAATTACAGAAACAGTCAGAATCTCAGTATGAATGCAATTTGCAAACACATTTTTCAGCAACGTAGTTTGCCGGTTGAAATGTCAGCCTAAAAAAAGTAAATTAAAACCAGTTTTCACTTCTAAAATGTACGTATTTACCTGATAGCCAAGTTCAACCTACTGCATTCCAGAGCTCTGCAGAAAACAAACAACTGTTGAGAAGTAAATGTGTCTCAGCAGCACTGAGTGGCTACATTAAACTAGGGGTCTTCTCAGCATTTCCATTAAATATTTAATCTACGACTCAGCCATGGAAACTGGCTTTAAGCGACACTTGGCCTACATTCAGCCACCTAATTTATTTTTTTTTAAACGTTAGTGGTTGGGCTTCAGATATTATGCCATACTCACTGGTATTTAAGCTACTGAAGGCCAGCAGAAGTAATCAGCACGTCTTTGAAATGCTCTTTTTCCAGCCTTGAAATTATTCCTTTTGTCAGCCCATGATTCGGGGCAACCTCATGAGCATCTACTGAAACATCGGTAACGGTAAGAATTGAGCACAAGTGGCTTCCCACCAAGTGCTACACTCCCTACGGATTGACTACACGTGGTAGTGACTACGCTACCTATGGATTTCATTTGGGGTTTGGGTTGCTACATACGATTGCCAGTAAAATTCACATTATTCCCAAGGAGGGTGGTTCTGAGCACAACATGATGGTGCAGAGTGAACGCTCCTTTCTCTCCAATGAACATTGCTCTGTGTCCCACACCAGCCATAAGCTGCTCTCTCCATGTTCCCTCTTTTGAGGCTCTAAAGCCAGTCTCCACCACTACTCCGAAGGGTCATTTGGTGGCTCAGCCAAAGGGAGCCACAGTTGGACACAGATCTCCTGGTGTCAGCCCAGGCGTGGGTGGCTGTCTCCTCCTCTGCACTGGCCACTTGTCCTCCCTCCTGCCCCATTCCTCTGATCGAGGGGTTACATGGTGAACAGGACTAGGGAGGACCATCTAGAGAGAGAAGAATGGCCGCACAACCACATCCTGAGTCCATCCAGCCCTTTGGTAGCTACTCAGTGTCTCCAAACCCAATGCTTAATCTTCAGCAGGCAGAGGGATCAGCAATTACTTTTATGGCCTTTAGCTTGAGATAATAAAAGATTTTAAGTCCTGTCCCTGGTATTAAAGGAGATAGAGAGGGCTCAAAATAGGCTTGTACATACCCTTCGGCCAGAGCAGGACTCCCAGAGCTTCTGAAGAATGTCCCAGCATTTCAGTTTCCTTCACACACATAAAATAGATTTTGTCTGTACTGGGAAACCTACTATTTTCCACTTTGACCACTGCAAACAGGCCAATGAAAACGTTAGGATTCTCTCTTTTTTTAGGTTTGGTTTTTCTTTTTTTCCCCCTCCTCATTTCCAGAGCTTTTTAGGTATTATAAAGTGACTTCCGCTGAACAAGGCAGTAGGTCAGAAAGGCTGTACTACAAATGCATTGTTTGGTTGGTTTTTTTAATTAAGTTTGAATTGATCATAACTCCTTTCATCCCTCTCTTCATGGGACTACATCAGGATTTCTTTTGTTTGCTACTGCTAGCGTGGGATGGAGATACCGCATAGTAGATCCTCTGGAAGCAAATCTGCCATGAGCTTTTCGACTGGGCATAGATTTTTCTAGGGACTCTGTCAAGCTTGTTCGACTCCGTGCCTTGATGAGTGATATATTGATGGCTGCTTTGAACCTACACAAAAATGTTCACTCTGTCCTCAGTGCATTGTCCAAGGTGGTTTTTCAAGAGCCTGACTGTCCTATGCTGTATCTCTGCTGATGTGGGTGGATCCGCTACTATAAGGCCGTGTTGTTGGTGCCTGTTTTCTCAACGCAAGCTACAGCTGGTGCCCTTCTTCCACCTCTGTCTTCGTCAGCCATCGCCATGGTGTTTTCATAAACCTCCATAGTTTTTAGCTGCTTGTCTTTGGCACCTTCCTCCTCGGCTTTGACTTTGCAGCACTTGCAGAAGCCGCAGCAGTGTTTCCCACAAAAGGCAAGCGAAGACATAATGATATTGTCCCAGGGCTCCAGGGAGTGCATCCAGACGGGGAGGAAATCCCAATTTTGGAGCTTCTCAGGCAGTGAATGCGGTCGCCTCTTCTGCATAATGTTAATGACAACCACAGCAATAAAAAGAGCAAACAGGGGAAGGCAAACACCCAAAAGGACCGGCCAGCCTGCCAGGGACAGCCCAAATACAAACAAAGGCAAAAGGAAGAAGCAGACGAGAAGATAAAATATAGCAAACCATCTGTACTTGGCTGTTATGTTTCCCAAGGTCTTGGACATGCGGATTGGCAGGCGGGTAATAGGCAGCGGGTAAAACAGAATAATTCCAGAGACATTGAAGAAAAAGTGGCACAAGGCAATCTGGAAGCAAAAAACAGTTGAGAAGTTCATTAACCAAAAGACCTTTAAATGCTCCTACCCACAGGACAATAAATTCTAAGGCTCCGTAGTTTCCGTTCCCTTGCTTCCCACTGTTTTTTCCTGTCTTTCAAGCTATTTCATTGCAAGGGCTTTCCCAGCATGAAGCAAGGACTCAGAAATTCCTCACACACTGTAAAGATCACTGTCCCCAAAGAGAGGACAGTGTTTGGACACAAGACAATCCTAGAAGGGATGACACACCTCCCTGCTGATGGAGAAGCCTTAAAATGCAGCGAGAAATGGAGCCCATCAGAAATAAAAGCAATAAACCAAGCAGCTGTGAGGAAACAGCCCTGTTGTTAGTAAGGCAGGAGAACTACATGAGAACGGCTCATTACTGGGTTCTGCATGCACAGATTTTCAATTAAAAGATGGGAAATGTAAATTACATAGTGCATGCAGGCTATTGAGAAATTGCTAACAATACAAATTTGAGTTTTCCAAAAATTAGCTAAGAGTTCATAGGGCACTGAGGAGATTCCTGGAATGTGACTTCACCTAGATCTTTTATAATAATTTGATTCACATACTTCAAAATTGTTTTTAAAAAGTGTGAAGAGACACATACTTGCTAGAGATTTCAGAAGTTGCTTAGGCAGAATAAGCATGTACTGAACAAACCAGTACGTTCCCTGCTCACCTTATCTTATTCTCATTCTATAACTGTTATCAACCTAAAGTAAACATGAAAGTACAGGGTTTTATTTCTAAAGTACATTATAAAAACAGCAAGCTATCATGAAATCTGAGCGTGGTCAAGATACTATCTTCTCATGATTACATCTGTTCTATCTTGCCTGAGGACAATAAAATGACTTCTGCAATTTTCTTAATTCATTGTGGCTAGTAAAAAAACATTCATCCTATTCACAAAGAAAACCCCATTATCTTTTCACTCTTTGATGTAGAGGGTTCATTCAAATGTTATCTTCTGCGTTGGAATGTTCTTTACTGGGTGGTAAATGGGAGCCCAAAGCCAGGCTGGCTACTTTTCAAATAGTCTGAGGCAAGAAGGAATTCAACAAAACCCACTTAGATTAGATTTACAATAAGAAAATAGATGCCACGATGCTCAGTGCAACCTCAGGTAGGTAGACAGCTTGGGTAGTACAGCCTCCACTTAGGCTACAGGAGTCCCTGTACATCCAAAGGAGGGAACTTAGACAAATTGATAACCCTAATTATTAGCAGACTACCTAAGAGGGTTGCCAGAGATGTGGGCACTGAGTCCAAGCTGCAGAGGCCTCACACTCCACCCTGTATCGGTTCAGAATTAATTCAGTCAGATCAAGCCCAATGAAAGCAAGATTTTACTACATATTGACATTCTGTATATGTTTAATACAAGCTTTTTGCTCTAGCAGTTGAGATGAATGAGCTGTCATTAACAGCACACACAAAATCAGGTGTGAGACCCATGGCATGGTGGCACCAGAGCCAACTTGATCAGGCTTTTCTTCAGAAAAGTTGCAACTTCTAAATGAAGTCAAGGAAGCATTGGTTTCTACTGACCTGTAATGAGTATTTTAATGTACTCCCGGGACTTGCTAAAGCTGCAAGTATAGCTGTTGTGGTTGTGCCAATGTTAGCTCCTAGGGTGAGGGGGTAGGAGCGCTCGATGCTTATAACGCCAATGCCTAGGAGAAAAGAAACAGGATGGAGTGGTCTCAGAGTGATGGAGAAGACAAAACTTGGGGATAAAGAACACTGTATGGACAACTTACCAACAAGGGGTGTAATAGCAGAGGTGAAAACAGAACTGCTTTGGACGACGAAGGTCATACCAGCCCCTGCCAGCATAGCCAGGTACCCAGCTAGCCAGGTAAAAGGAAATGGGAAATCTGAAAAAAAAAGAGTGGGAGAACATTGTCTTCAGGAAAACAAAATGGTCTATGGAGCAGGAACACAGCAGTGAAAAGACTATTAAGCTTTTCAATTGTTTGCACATTATTTCTTACACAATGACTTTGAGTCAGAGTCAGGTCTACTGCTCTAAATTACGCTGTTCGCCGTACTCCTTCTCCAGCCTCCCACCACTGGATACACTTTGAAATGGGTACTAGACAAGGTAGTCACTTGTCCTGACCAAGGATAACATTTATGTTGTAATACAATTAGGTGCAAGAAATGTTTCTGCAAAGGTCAACACAACACCTTCTAGGTGTCTTGAGCACCTTGGTTTTGGCAAGTAGGCACCCGCTGCATTGATTGGATGTTCAGAAAGCTCTGAAGAACATCCTCAGAAAATCAGGTTGGTTGTTCTGACCAGTTTCAAGCAAATCACCTTCTAAAAATTCACTTGTTAATGCTTGCAAAGAAAAGCTAATCACACTGATAGAGAAACTTAGGCACAATGGTCCCCTGCAGTCTGTAGATTTACAAGAGAGCCAAGGAGCCAGGACTTAATCAGTTGGGAATACACAGAGGAAGACAAAGAAGATCACAAATGAGCATTAACTGGAAGCTGATTACTTTCTGCCCTTCATTTTTGATTCAGATAATGGTCTTTGCCAGGAGAACAGAAGAGAAGACAACACGGGGACCTTTTCGTTGCCTCCCCCATTTCATAGAATGGTTTGGGTTGGAAGAGACCTTAAAGATCATGGAGTTCCAACGCCCCTGCCATGGGCAGGGACACCTCCCACCAGACCACGTTGCTCCAAGCCCCATCCAGCCTGGCCTTGAACCCCTCCAGGGATGGGGCAGCCACAGCTTCTCTGGGCAACCTGTTCCAGTGTCTCACCACCCTCACAGGAAAGAATTTCTTCAGCCCTCTCTTCAATCACAACCAGACACATGACAGGGCTGTTTTTCCCTGCCACAGGCTGTAACCTCTCCATTCCAGGGAGGATGAAGAAAAAGCAGCAAAGTGGAAAAAAACAACAACAACAAAACAAAAACATTTGCACACAATGGATCCAGGGTGAAAAAAACAGCCAGAGAACCCAAGGAAAGACAGAAAGCACCACTACTGAGGGTTGCCTTATCTTACTGAAGAGAAGGTTAAGGAGTGGAACCTTAAAGAGGGTTAAGGACAAGCAAAGGAAATTAGATCATTAATCAGTACAAACTTTTTTTTTTTTACAACTAACTTTAGAAGAAACACACAGGCCCTGTGCCAGAGCCAGCAATCACGGTCTCAGTACTTCAGCGCTATCTTTGCAGGATGGGAACATTACATTTCTAACAGCTAATGATTATACATCAAGAAACAGAGCCTGGACTTTGGTCTCTGTCGCTGTTAATCTGCTGCAGATCGCAAGCAAGCAGTTCACTAATAGATTTCTTAAAAGAAAGAAAATAACACGCTGAGAAGGAAAAATGTTGGGGTGATTTTGGCTTAGTACTGTTTTCTTTAAAATGTTCTATAATATCTGCCAGAAAGGGGGATATCAATAAATGTGCTCGGTGTCCTTGTCATTCCTAAAGACAATCTTCAGGAAAAGCAGATAATTACCGGTGTTGATTGTCTTCTTGATAACACTCGCCACTTGTCCTTTAAGCACAGAGTTTAATAGCTTAACGATCATCACCAAACAGGAGCACAGAACAAGCAGGGACAAAGCCAGAAGGATGAGACCGATGCCAAGATCGGGCAGGTCTGAGTCTGCAAAGAGATGCCGGCCTGAAAAAGAAAAGGGAAAATTAATTGGCCTCGCTACGTTTTTTGCTCCTAATCCCAAGCCCAGCTCTGGTTTTCATACATACCCCTAAGAAAATGGGACCAAAGCACCCACAGCTTGAGGGGTTGATGCACTGAGTGAAAAAGCCACCTCTCTTGCTCCACAAAAGCCACGTCTGAGTGGGGTAAGGGGAGCTTTTGTATGGAAAAGCTCATAAAATACACATGGGGCACCCCTTGGGGCAGGCAGGAGCTGGGTGACCCTGTGCAATGGGGTGTCAATACAACAGCATGAGGAAATTTTGAGGTGCTCCAAGCCAGGTGGTGGGTCGGCTCTTCCCAGAGGTGGCTGAGAAGGGCTGCTGAAAGTCCGGAGGGGCGTGCATAAGGATGGAGATATCCAAGCAGCCATGGCAGCAAAGTAACTGTAGATCCAAGTCACCTGAACGGTGAGGGTGACATGATACTGAAGACCTGACTTACTGATATCGGGGAGCATGGAAAGAGATCCACCTGCAGCCAGATATCATGATGATGCTGGTAACTCCAGCTGTACAGCTAGAACCGAGCTCAGGCTGCTCTGACTGGGTCCATATACAGGAGAGTGCCTCTTGATATACCTCTGAGATGGTCTGTTAACACCCTGAGAAACCTATATACATTTATAAAGATACTACTGGAGGAGAAACGGTTCTACTACTTACATTTACTGATATATTCTGTTTCAGTTATGTTCTTGAGGGTCCATGTCGTATTTCCTTCACTCCAGCAAAACTCAGGAGATGTGCAGTTTTCTGAAGGTGGAATTGTGACATTCTGCAGCGTCTAAAAGTTGTCAGACAAAGCAGATAAGTCACCTACAACCCTTTGATAAGTTCTCATGCAAAGTTCCAGGTCTTTACTGCAACCAAGCATGCATCAACTAAAGGAGGGTTTATAAAACTGGCACCACATTAACCACAAGGCAAAATTTCTGGCATTCTTAAAATACGTGGCTGTGCTGTTGCTGTTACTCAAGTCAATCAATGCAACATTTAAAGATTAAAACATCCCCCAAACCTTCTTCATGGTAAGAACCATAGCACCAAGTCATCAGTAGCTCAGGACCTTCGCTACTGATGCCAAGGTTTGTGGGAAGAGGCTCACATCTGGCTTCAGCTGGGGGGCAGCGACATTCCTTTTCCACAGCTTCCTTGGGTCAAAAGAAAGACCTCTTTACTGGTGTCTTAACTGCAATTAATGGCCTGGGGAGGGTTGCACAGGACTGGGACTCAGAATACTTGTGCTGACTCTGCTGCTGGGTGAGCCCAAGCTGCTCACGCCGCCCGCCCGTGCCTCTGTCTTCCTACCTGTCGAAACAGGGCTGCTGCTTCTGCCTTCCTTTCTAAAGCTCAAAAATGTTATCTGAGAGCTAATTACAATCACTATGATTAGCATTACTGCGCAGAACCTGGATTTCCGTTTATGCTGCAATAAAACCTTGTTCATTAGAGCCTTTAGCCCCGAGGTACTGCATTCTGACACTCGGTCCAGAAGTCCTCAGGCAGATTAAGGAAGAGTTTGCCGACTGAACTGTACTTCTTCACAACAGGGGCTACCAGCCAAATGGACTCTGAGCCACCCTGCTGAACAGGAGGCAGCTTTAGGATGCAATCAAGTGATTCTCTTTTGCAGAAATGGGGAAAGAAGTCACGTTTTCTCACTGGCCACTGCCTGTGGACATCCACATTTGCAATTCCCCTCCAGGGAGGTCCATCCAGTGCCCCCCTGACATCTCCAGATCAGCCAACACATCAGCCTCTACAAACACAATGCAATGTTGTTTCTTGCCATCCTGAATTTTTTCCAGACATCCGAGTTTCCGAGCAGCTGCATTAGATCAAAATATTTATCCTTACATTTCACTCTAAACATATGGGCTCTGCAGGCATTTCTCCCTGCCATACGTCTGTTTAATCATTTTTGCCAGAAACAAGTTTAACCCACGAGGAATGTGAATCATTTAAAAGATCCTCCTCTTCCCCCATCAAGTTCAAGTCGAGCTTGTAGGGGTTTCGAGTGTTTTTGCAATTTGACCTTATGCTTGGGCAGTAGTTAGCCAGCCAAAATATAGACAAACACAGTAAAAAAAAATGCGTATATGGAAATGTAACCCTCAGCCTACAATTTCCCTGTAGTTGCTTGTCTTCTGGCCATCGAGGCTGTCATTCCATAGGAGCTGGGCTCCTCTAAAAACCCAAGTGCTTAATTTTAACCTCCACTATGTGTCTTTAAGCATCTTCTGCCTCTGGACTTCAGGAATTACCTGATATACATGCTAACAGGTAGAAGAGTCTCATTAGAATAGTCTCATTAGAATAGTCATCTCAGAGATCCAAGGGATATTTAATGCTCCAGTTGTTAGTAAGATGAACCAAAGCAAACACTCAGCTCCACAGTCTACCAAAATACTAATTTGGTGTCGATTTGGGCAACAGACTCCTTCCAACTGCAGTGTTGGTTGGGTAGAGAACAATGGGATTTGGGCCCACAGAGGCTTTTTCCAAGGGCAGTTTTCCAAGAGAGCTGCAAATAACCAGCTGCCACCAGACCACACTAACACACGGAAGACCAGACCTGGTTAGATCAATAGATAAATGGTCGGTGAAAAGGTATTTTCTTTGGCCAATATTGCAGATTTTTTCCACGTTCAGGGAGTCAGTAGGAGTGTCAGGGTCTAAAGGCCTTTGGATATGAAAGGCCTGGCTCCAAACCACCAGTTCTGATAAGCAAGGGCCTGTGTGGTACCGAAAGCAACCAGGTCAAGCCCACCCCTTGCATGACATCCTTGGTTTAAGTGGAAAAAAATTCACTAAATTGTTTTCATTCTTTTCCTGCTGAAAAAAAAATACTATTTAAACCTCTAATTTCACAATCCCATGATAAGGATCATCAGCAAGAGATCAGCAATATATTTCCTGAGGAGCCTGACAATGAATTTATCATAATACTCACCACGTTGGTTTCAGTTACACACCAAATCTTTACCAGGCTTTTGTTTTTCGCTGATTCATCGTTTGTAGCAATCGCATTTATTACTGATTTATCAAGCTTAAAAAAAAAAAGAGATAGAGAGAAGAAAAAAAATAATGTTATTCCAACTCGTCTCACACACTTCTGCCCAGCTTTACTCAAATAAAGTAATTTGGAAGTTCAATCACGTAAAGCCTGCATGACCACCTCTAATGCTGGAGCTGCTGCCCCAAAAGGAGAAGGGGGTTTACTCCCAGAAAAAGAATAAAAGACTCCATCTACTAATGAGCTTTACCCCGAGGACAGAGAGAAGTGAGTGGGAGCCCCCCTCCCATATTCAGAGCATTCTGAATGAAGCAAGGAAGCAACTTCCTTGAAGAGACCAAGAACTTACCTCAATGATGAGCTTTGTAAAGGGGTCTGTGATCACTTTTAGTAGCTCAGGGGCATCCTCACCGCTTTCAAGATGAAAGGACTCAACTATAACATTGGTGAGATGGTAAAGATAGCCAGAAATAACTTCAATGGGCAAGAGGGCAAACACAGCGAGCCAGTTAAAGAAATCATGGATCGTTGCCCCGGCAAAGGCCCTGCAAGAAGAAATTTAACAACAGAGCTGCTTTTAATTAAACAACATGTGCACAGCATCAATTAAATATGAAATCATAGAGGTGGGGTGAAGCCTGTTTCAAGATTTCATTTCTGGGGTCACAGGAGAAGTCTGCTTTGCTATAGAGATCTAAGTCACCCCCACGCTGTTGACTGGGTGGAAGAGTCAGCCGAGGGAGTGAAATGAGTGAACACATGAGAAAAGGCAAAAATGATCCTTAACACTTCTTCAGCCAAGAGTACTTGTCTGAAGAAAAACAGCTCTTCCCTCAAAGGCACTCTTTCCCACCTTCCTAATAGCTGCTTGTGGTCCTCCCAGTTATCCACAAACTGCCTGCAGCTGTTTCACAATATAGCTCCTTAAATTAAACATTGTGAAGGAAGAAAACGTGAGGGAAAAAGATCCTTGAAATGCTAATCCCGTAATTTATGTTCCCACTGACAAACCGCTTGAGGGGAAATCAGGGGGAACATTCAAAGTAGGCCAACAAAGAATCAGGGAGAATATTCAAAGTAGGCCAACAAAATTGATAGTGCTCCCACCTTCAGTTTACAGACTGAAGTGGTTGTTAGCAATGTTAATTAATGTTTAAAAACAATTCTTTCTCATTATTATTTAAATTCTTTTCCTGACCGGATACTAAGAAGCTACTTTGGTGTTGGTCTTAAGTGACAGATAATAGCACAACCGAAGACTTAAAACAGTAAATCTTGGAGAAAAATGCATAGGTTGGGTGTGTTTCATACGTCTGGCACGCCATAAATGACAAGGTACCAAACTCTCATATCCTTCCCAAGTTTACTGCACATCTCAGTAAGCTGTGAGCTCTCTTGGTAATAAGTGGCAACCTAAAAGTTGTCACTGTATTTATTTGACAATCAGAACACTTCACTTCTCTACAGTTACCAGCTCTTTTTTATTATAGACTTAAAAAACCTTCAACATCAAAGTCTCTTTTAAGGAGAGTAGACCAAAATACCATCGTGCTAACTTCTTGTACAGGCCACCCATAATTAAGAGACAATCAAAGGTGGGTGATGTAGTGGGAGCAGTTGAAAATTTACCCTTGTGCAAGATCCGATTAAAAATGGTGGATTCTTACAAAAACACAAAACTTTTAAAGGAACCTAATATGCTTTTCTTCAAGTATATTAAGCCATATATCTAGACAGCATTACATGGCCATGTTTGTGACTTTCCCCAACTAGATATGACAATTTTGGTCAATAGAAAGGTTGAATGACTGTAGTGGTGATAGGTAATATAGAAGAAAACCTACAAAGAAGGAAGAAAAGCAACTTTTCATATCTAGTTTTAAAGCACAATACCTTCTAAATTCATTCCTGTCCCCAGCTTGCATGAGTGCCACAATCGTGTTCGTGACTGAGGTGCCAATGTTTGCCCCCATTATGATGGGAATAGCTGATCGGACAGTCAGCACTAGAAAGCAGAAAAGGAAGAATTTAATGAAAAAAATCAGACCATCAGCAAGCTCTTTGCTCCAATGAAAATTAACTATTATTAATGTCACTGGAACCCCGACTTCCCTTGGCGTCGCTGGGATTAGGTGCTCCAATCAATGTTTGCTTTTATCAAGCCCCCTGGGAACTTGGTGCTCCCATAGTCCCATGATCCCCACTGAAACTGCAGCCCATGGTTACCCCTTTCCACCACTTGTTGGAGGGATGGAGTAACACGAAGTCTCTTCTTTCCCAGGCGAAACTGCAGCCCATGGTTATCCCTTTCCACCACTTGTTAGAGGGACGGAGACATGAAGTCTCTTCTTTCCCAGGCAATTTCCTGCTTACTGCAGAATTTTTAAATAATGCCATGGAAACAAATGAAGTTCAGTAACTGGCTAATGTGAGAAAAGCATGGAGGTACTGCCAGAACTAATTAATTCAATGCCAAGGCTCCCAGTGATTTTCATTGCAGTTATGGAGTTATCATTACTACTACTACTATTACTATTTTTATTATTATTATTACTACTTTTAAAGTTATATTTTATATCAGGGCAACAGCTGTGAGAATCTTTTCCTGCAGTTTCTACTCTTACACTCAAAGCTTCTACAGCTTCAACACAGGTGGGAATATTTTCACCCCAGACCAAGATTTATGAGTGATCTGTACAAAGACACTCTAAGCAGACTTACATGTGGAGGACACCATGCTGACCACAATGGATGAAGAAGTGCTGGAGCTCTGGACCATAACAGTCACCAGAACTCCAATCACCAGCCCCGCAACAGGATTAGACAACACTGAATCATCTTGAAAAATGTCCCCTGCTGCTTTACCTACAAAAAACATATTCTCAGAGTGAGGGAAGTGCAAGGTAAAGTCCACAGGAATTATCAGAGCGTTTAATTAAAGATCATTCAACCATTCAATTGATACATATACCATGCTTGCCAGTCAAAATATGTACAACCTGATGTAGCCCAGGGATCTAAATTCAGGTCCTCAACTCTCAGCTTCTCAGTTATCAGAGGATACTTCATAGTCTCTCATTTCAGAGACTGAACAATCTCTACTGAACTCTGAAGAGAACCATATAAAACCCCAGCCATCAGAGGAAAGACTGCAGGACACAAACCCCACAGACGTATAGATTTAAATGCCTTGATATTTTTGGTTACTGCATCAAGGAAAACTATTTTAATAATCCTGAGTAATTCTGTTCCTGTAGATTTCTGTGTTGCCAAAAATCCAAAATACTTCCACAGAAGCTCACAGATTTCTCCAATAACCGCTTCTGAAACCATCAGCAGAATCCAACCCTTGGAAACAGGTAAATGTAAAAAGTACATTTCAATAGTTTTCATCTTTGAAGGATTTGGGGAACATTTCAGTGCTGGATGCTTTGATCAAGAGCGCAATTTTCATATTTCACCTTGTTGAAATGTCTTTCACACAGGGCAGATCTATGCACAGATGTATTTGTGTAAAGTGTCACTAAAGTAACAGGAACCTACTAAGAAATCGGGGCCAATAATCCCTACATCAACAGCTCTTTGGAATTTGAGAAACAAAGGCCCTTTCAAACAAATGAAGGTCAGTCTTCAATCAGAGCTACTTCCTTCTGCATCTATATCTCAACACATAAATCTATGGAGAATGTTCGTGAAGAGTGATGCTTGTAATTTAATAACTGAGATTAAATTTACTGCCTCATTCATAGTTTATTCTTGATATTTTAGACATTTTCATACCTCCTACCAGTTGGAAAGCAGAGCTCAGTACATCCAGAGAGCATACGAACATGTAGAGCAGTCCAAGTAGCATAATAAACTTCCCAATCCCATAGAGTACACGAATTATTTTTCCTTTTCTATCCAATTCTGCAAAACAAACACATTATGCATAAAAAACTTGCTTGATGTATCTGGTGTTCTCTTTGGAACTGTCTAGAACACAAGCTACAAGAGACTATGTAGTCAAAGACAGTGTTCTGACCCCAGCGTGTGATTAAACCCAAAAGAATGTTCTTCTTAATCAAATTTTAACTGCTAGGCAAACAAACCACCTGCTTCTGTTGTACCACATAAAAGCTTTTGGTCTATGACAAAAGCCTTATGAAATCTGAGATTGATCCTCAGTTTTACACAGTCATACTACTGAGTGAAGGAGACAAATAGAAGCCTGGATATAAAACCATATTAGTTTTGGATTGTTTTCCACATATCTCCTTGTGGTTTTAGGAGGGTAAGCAGCATGATTTCCAGATTCTTCTTAACTGGCTAAATATAATATCTTCCTTCATTGTTGGGGAAGGTGACACAGAATGTAAATCCTACATCTGAAATCTCCTCAGATCTTGAATTCAATTCTGCAGCAAATACCATTTCAGAAAATTAACCAAGACAAAGAGAGCAGAAGATATGGGAAAAAAATAAATGCAGGTAACTTATTTACTGAGAAATGGCTACCTGACCACTTGACCCCAGTGTCCTGCAGTTCCGGCAGAGCCCATGGGTCCTCTTCTTCTTGCCTGGTCTCATCTATCAAGGCTATTGTGGAAAACGCAGGTTGAATTTCCCCTTTATTTCCAAGTGAAGCCACGTTGCCTGATGAAAGAGAACATTAAAAAAATGGTTTAGTTACTTTGACCTTCTCCAAGGAGCCCCAAAAGTTATGTATCTCTGTAACTCACAGGCAAGCACACATTACCTTTGTGATTTTCTCCTTCTTTCCCAGCCATATTCTGGTTCTGTTTGGAGGAGTCCCCAATATAGTTATTGGTTTCAGGCTTTTCCACCTCAGGCCAGGGAGCCATGATCTGTGAATAACAAAGTAGTGCTGATTAAAATACATGCGCAGTCAAAATATTCAACTTACAGCAGGGTACGTGAGAAATATGATTAAGTTTAAGAGCAAAAGAGATGGTAATGGAATGGAAGCAATTAGTCCTTGAACACAGCTTTATGCATTAATCCTTTATTTGCATTATTCCTTTATTTGCAAAATTAATTTCTCAATTATTTTTTAAATCACACAGTTTATTTATTTGTGCAATTTACACAATTGAAAAAAATATTTCCATCTCGCGTTTGTATTTTTGTTCACTTTTAACTGGCACAAAAGCAAAGATTCTGCTGCTTTCCAAACCTTAGGCATTTATTTTCCTTAATTCATTTTATGTCATTTCAGAGGACTGTTTTACTTTATTCTGCCTTCTGGATTTAACTGACTGCTTTTACCAAACTGGTGATTCAATGCACAGACCTTAGCAAAGAAAGTTCTTCCCTAAAGCACTGCCTAGTTTGGGTCACGTATGCTAAACACGTGTTGCTTTTAATGGTTCATTCCCATGGAAGCATGGAGGATACAGAATCACAGAATTATTAGAGTTGGAAGGGACCTTAAAGATCATCCAGTTCCAACCCCCCTGCCACGGGCAGGGACACCTCCCACCAGACCAGGTTGCTCCAAGCCCCATCCAGCCTGGCCTTGAACCCCTCCAGGGATGGGGCAGCCACAGCTTCTCTGGGCAACCTCTTCCAGTGCATCACCACCCTCATCATTCCCGTCAAAGAATGGAGGGGAAAGTGACCCTGGATAAGGTGGAGGAAGACCTTAGAGTTTTGAGCTCCAGACTGATGCTTGCTGAATGACTGGAGAAGCACGTAATTAGACAGCGGTGGCCACTGGCAGGTCTATATGTGCCTGGAACTCACAGCTGAGGCTGTAAGGAAAGCTGAGATAGTGGCAGCAAGGTCAGGCTCACCCATCCCATGTAGGGTCTCCCTCTGAACCTCTTCCTTCCTGACCCAGTTTGAGCATATTTGACTTATACTAATATTAACAAATAATAACTTAAATAAATAAGGCATCCACGGCCAATAGTCCTGCTGACACACGTACAAACACATGTGACAGTCATAGCCCAGGGACAAGAGGAGGAGGTAGCTGTTCCCTGAACCAAAACTTGGAATTATAGAATGGTTTGGGTTGGAAGGAACCTTAAAGAGCATCGAGTTCCAACTCCCCTGCAGGGACACCTCCCACTAGAATCACAGTATCATAGAATCGTCTAGGTTGGAAGGGACATTAAAGATCATCTGGTCCAACCATCAACCTAACTCTGACAAAAAAATAAATAAGAAATAAGCAATAAAAAAATCACTAAGCCATATTCCTGAGGACCATGTCAACCCGTCTTTTGAACCAGGTTGCTCAAAGCCCCATCCAGCCTGGTCTTGAAGAGTCCTACCTACTTCACCAACATTGGAAGCCAAAGGGAGGGACATGAAAGAGGGAGAAGGTGACAATGGGGAGCTGATGCAATATATGATAATACTTTCTACCTTTGCAGGCTTGTAAGGCTGATGGTTTGCTCAGCCAGCATGACCAAAAACTCAGTGGAAAGGATGGGAGAAGTGAATCCTACCCAGAAAAGCCTCACAGAAAAGCCTCACCTTCAGGTTTGTCTCTTCCACCCTTCTCTGCCACAGGAGTCGGTCACTGCTGTGGACAAAGCTGCCCCACGGCCACCACGTCTGGCACCCACGGGGCTGAAACACCCGTGATCAAATTGGCCTACAGTGCTCCTCATAAACAGGGCACCCGCCCCCAGCCTACAAAAGTTGGTGTCAGAGCTGGTATCATCCTCCCGTAAACAAGGTTCACCTGCATTTAGCAGCCACTCTAAGGGAGTATAATTAGTCATTCATTTTATCATAATCCTTTATGGTGAAAATGTTTTGTCTCTGCCCACGTCAATAAGCCACACATTCCCCTCCTTTAGCTGGGAAGGAAATGTCACAGACAAAATTATTCATGTAACAGAGGAGGGTATTGTTTTCTGGCACTCCGCAGAGGAAAGAGTATCCCCCCCTCCACATTAACAGGAAAAATTATTCTACAATCCTATTAGCAAAAGCTACGCTTTTACACGTTCTTTATCTGTGGCTCCCAAGGTACACAAAGAAAGATCTCAGAACCGATGGAAGAAAACCACTCTTGCTTGTTTCAACAAGGGTTTCCATTTGCTTGGAGCAAATTGTCATATTTTCACCCATGCCAGAGCAACCTCCAGGCCCCACCCACGCCAGAACACCTCTGTCTTGTTAAACGAGTTTCATTTATACAAGTTCAGCGTTTAAAGAGGTCTAAAAAAAAAAAACCAACCAAAAAACTACTCGGCACAAGTGCTTCTTGAGTGAAATGCAACCGTGAAAAAAGCATTGGAAATTTGGATGTGAAGTTGCATGGAAAACATATTCCCACCAAGGAGAGACACAGAATACGCTGGACACCACCAGCCCTAGAGATGCCATCAGTGCTCTTACAGCTCTTCTGTTACGTTCCGTATGGAAATGAAGGGTTCAGCCTGCAAGATTACTCTATGGAAACTGAGCTGATGCGTTCACTGGAGAAACTGGAGCTTGAAAACTTCAGCAGAAGCACAAACAGCCTCTACGTCTCCTAAATAAACTCTCCCCATTCAAGAATCCAGCAGGACATTTTTTCATAATGAGCATCTCCCGTGTTCCTGAGGTGCTCAGGATCCCACAGGTACGTCATGTATTATTATTGTTTTTGCTTTATGTGATTAAATACCATAGAATGAGAGTTGACCACCTCTGTGGAGGAAGTTTATTTAACAGGTATGTATATAAAGTTATTCGTATGAGCCCTAGTCAACCTCTGATTTGGGAAGGTAGACTTCAAGACTGGAGGTCTTTACAGAGTTTGCCTTGTGCATTGGGGTTCGCAGAGGTATTAGTAGAACAGCCCGTTCTGTGTGATTGGTATCAAGGACTGACGAAAGCAGAACCATCTAGATCCTTGAAGTGCTACCAAAGCTGTCAGCTTTCTCCAGATCCCAACTCTTGTTAAGAGGAGCAGCCGAGAAGGTAGCTTACAGCCACCTGATACTCCCTTTGCTAAGAGTCCTGGCCACAGCTACTTACTGTTAATTAATCGCTGTGCTACAAGGGTAATCTGCACGCTACGGTTTTCCCTTCAAAGAGGTTCTCCCTTGGCCCAAACGTAGACATTGGCATCTTGAGAAGACACTGGGAGGAAATTCTGGGTGACAAAGGTGACTGCATGGTTCCCCAGCAGCTCCTCTGGGAAGGCTGGCTGACGACAGGCGTGATGCAAATGGCCAACATCATTGTATGCAAGATGTAAACGACAATAAAAAAAAAACCCAAACCAAAACAAAACACCTAATAGTGGGTTTACTTTTGAACGCCGAAGGCATTAACCAGGCTGGGAAGGGACTCATGAGAGAAGGGGTGGAGGACGAGGCGCGGCACAACGAGGAGCTCCCTTCAGCCGGACACACCGGTCCCGGTCCAAGGGCAGGATTAGCCACAATTACCGGATGGGATGCCCGGATTGAGGAGCTCTGCCCATCCCCGTGCCAGCCCAGGTGTCTCAACACCCACCTGTCCCCTTCCTGCCTTAGAGGAGATGTCTGGAGAAGCATTGGCCCTTTGGACATCCAGCCGGCTGGAGCTGTGCTGAAAGGGGAGCGAGTTTCCTCCCGAAAAAGCGGCAGGTCAAAAGATGCCATGCATATTGCAAAGGCCTGAAAGCTAATGCTGTAATCCAGCCCGTTTGGGTGAAGCTGGCTGCAAATCCTCTCCCACCACCGCCCGTGCTCCTCTCGCTGCGAGTATAGTCTTTCCTCGCCTTCGGAAAATGCTAACGACGCCTGACATCCTTCCCAGCTCCGAAAGAAACCGAAACCTCCCGCTCCGAAGAGGGAGATAGATGGAAACGGTGGCACTCAGATTCCAAAATAAAATGAGAGAGAGAGAGAGAGAGAGAAAGCCGAAGCCAAGGTGGGTTCCCATGGGTTTTTACGCCCACATCCACTCCCTCGCTGCAGCGTCTCAAAGAGTTAAAAGTCTCTGGGGAATGGTTTGAGTTGCTCAAACAGGAGGTGTCATTGCCTTCCTCGGTGACTCATTGACCTGCAACAGCACGGCCTGGGCTTGCAGGGCTAGGCTCTCGGGTGCTTCTCGGTTTTTAAACTAGAAAGAGCTGTAAATCTTTTCCATTTTGCTGGACTCAACACGGGGAGCGGGAGCTACCGCTCGCACAAGCCTGGAGAGCATTGTTCCTACCTCTCCACCCGTGACAGCTCATGGAGAGTGCCCGAAATAAGAACTACCCAGCAGCAAACCTTAAAGAAAAAAATCTCACCTGCAGGGGAGCAGAGCCAGTCAAACCGAAATTAAATTAAAGTAGGGGAGAAAATAGCAGTATATTCTCAAAACCAACTGGCAATAACTGCAACAACCACCCATGTGGACATACAAGTGCCTGTGGGCTGCTTGTGCAGCTCCAGTGCAAGTTTTGGCTTCAGCCAGGCTTTCCCCTCTCTCGATTGCTCTCCTTCTCCCTCAGTTTTTCTGCAAATAAATAGACATCACTTTCCTGTCACCCACCGCTGCGCCACGGTTTCTACGTTAAAGGATTTATCACCTCATCTGGCATCCCACTGGATGACTTACTGACGACACCATACTGCATGGCTGTATATTAAATATGAATATTTATCACATGTACTTCCTAGGAGTAAATGCTCAAGCTACACAGCAGTCCTTCTTGTACCCAGCTGGAAGAGATATCGGGCTTTACCTTCCCTCCCCGCCGCACAGAATTGATCATTTCTGACATAAACACACATTACGTAGAGACAGGAAAGGGAAGATCCTCAACCAGCACAAATTCATTCGGTGGCTTTACATCAGCCACAAATTTTGTGCCCCAGAACCTGTTCCAATGGCAGCCTCGGCGCCCCGGGTGCAACCGAGCGGGACACGACAAGTAAACACAGGGAATGATTCAGCCTCCCTTGGAGCAAGCCCTGGCACCAGCTGCTTCCTTGGGGCTTTATCTCTGAAGAAGTCAGCAGGCTTAGCCAGGGTATAAACTTTCCGACTGATGCAGTGGTAAAGGGAAAAAAACAGACGTGGGAAAGGGGGGAAAAAAAATAGACACGGGAAAGATAAAAAAAAAAATAAATAGAGCATCGTTCTCACTCTTTATCTCTATGGATCCCTGAGACTTATTGCTCAGAAGTTTGAATCTAGCACACAGCAAAACTAAAAAAAAAAAACCAAACAAAAAAACCCCACCCACATTTAAAGCAAACTACTAAAGAGAACTAATTTCTAAGCAAGTGCAGAGAGAAAATGAATCCCAAACATTAATTTTTTGCATTCGCAACCAAGCAAAGCACCGGACGCTGCCAGAGCCAGGAAACATCAGTGAACTATTTGAAATGCCTGCCAGGTAATTTAAATAAAACAATTATATTTTTCTTAGAATAAAACAACAACAACAAAATAATAATCCCACCCACAAGGAAATACAACAGGTCTACCCCATCCCGAACACACACCAGGTAGCAAAGAAATGAGAGAGGAAAAAAGTAACGACATTAAAAAGACTTACTGATGGAATGGAGGAGCTGCTAATAAAAGTTACTGAGAAACCAGTGGATTTCTGCCTCCTGCCACATTAGTTGAGCTAACTGCATTAGACTAATGTATTCCTCTTACCTCCGTGGACCAAACCAAATTAGCATAAGGAAATGTTTCCATCGAGAGTAGCCTGGCACGGCCATAGCGCGGCACACTATGCTAACACACTATGCTAACACACCAACTGACACTGCTCCCTTCCAATGTTTCATTAATTGCATCCCAGACATTTTCCAGTATCCAATACCCCTGATTACTATGACTTAAAATCTCCCTTCTTTTCAATCCAAAAAACCAATACTTTCTTAAGCCATAGGCATTTATTTCTGGGTAGTTTTTTTTCCCTGACAGCTACTAATATAATACTTTTTTTTTTCTTTATCATATGCCACAAAAATACATCTAGTTATTTGCAGACTAAATGTAGCCCACTTTGGGTTCAGAACTATGATTTTTCATCGCTTCCTTAAGACATAAACACAGTTGGAAGAACAGGAGGTGAAAATGCTAACGAGAGGATGACATTTCACCGTGCCACTCCAGTTCCCTGCTGCTACTCCCTCAGCTGCAGGAGCAGAGGGGCTGGATTTATCACCTAAGCAAGTTGTTTAAAAAAAAAAAAGAAAAGAAAAAAAATTAAAAAGAGAAGAAAACTTGATCTTAGTTGTTCTTACTTACCACTTCTTTCTTCCCAGGCAACAGAGGAAACGGGTGGACTGGGCAGCCACTGGGACCTGCAATATATATAGACAGGTGTTGAGCAAAGTTTGCTTTCATCACGGCGCACTAACATTCCTATTTTACAGTCCGGAGGCACTGCCTACCTGCAGCTTAATGATCACAATCAACCTCTTTTTTTCAGCAGCAGTGGGCAGCAACCAAGACTGATAAAACGACGGGCTATTTCACACTTATCACATTCTAAAAAACGTCCCATCAGCATTTAAAAGTGCACGGGGGTTGCTAATGTCTCTTGGCTGAGTGCGGGGGAACGGTTTGTTCCAGCCTGAAAAATTGCCATCCGCCTGATCACCCCGTAACCTTTCTTTTTTTTTTTTTTTTCCAATAATAATTTTTCCAAAAATATCTTGCAATCTGGAAAGTCTGTCAAAAGGGTGTGAAGAAGATGTAGTACTGTTATTTGTCTGTTCAGGTGCCTATTAATCTTTTTTTTTTTTTTTTTTTTTCCAATAATAATTTTTCCAAAAATATCTTGCAATCTGGAAAGGGTGTGAAGAAGATGTAGTACTGTTATTTGTCTGTTCAGGTGCCTATTAATCTGCCTAAGGACCGGAGTGAAGGGGAATCAGATAAAAAGCGGTGTAAGTAGGAAACACGTAAGAACTTCTCTGAGAACAGAGGATGGAGTTTCATTCTTATCAGTGCCCAATGTTTACAATTAAGGCAAGCTCATTAGCATTTTGGCTGTGGCTCTCCTTCTAAATGAGATTTAAAGATGTAAGGGCATCTTTGATAATTGCATTCAGAACGCCTAGCGAGGAGGAAGGCTGTATGATAAATAGATCTGTTATTCAATAAATCCAGCGTGGTATTAGTGATTAGATGGAGCAGCCACCAGCATCGCTGCCTGTTCTACCCCTGGGATTAATGGGGAGTCCTGGGGGAAACAGGGGGGGAGCTGCATGAGGCACCGTCGCTTTATTCTCTTTGAATTTTTTCCGTTTCAACAGGCAATTTACACTGAGAAAATAAGCTGTAAACCAGCAGCCTAATCAGCAGATCTGCTTGGTCTGCGTGTACGCCCTCGTATCTCCCAGCAGCTTGGTGACTTAGTAACTCAGAAAAATAAAACTCTTGCTTTTTGCACCTTTGGGTCCCGCAGAGGAGCCCAGCCTTGGGAGCTGTGACTCACAACTGACTCCTCGCACGCCTCGGCATCAGAAATGTTTAATAAGTGGTGATGGTAAAAGCCTCCTCTGCCCCGTAGGCAGCATCCCATCACAGCAGGGGAACCACCACACACCTCCCCTTGTTTGGGGTGGCTCTGCTGGTGCAGACCCCACTGACCCCCCTTACCCTGGGCACGGCTGATGCTGGAGCCCAAGGATGAAAGCTCCTTAAGCAGAGAACAGTCCAAAGTGGGAAGAAGTGATGGAAAATGGACCCCATGTCCACCTCGGTGGTTCACAGGCTCAGCATTCAGTACCCAAAGGGGGCTACAGGGGAGATGGGGAGGGACTCTTGATCAGGGAGTGGAGCCATAGGACGAGGGGTAACAGTTTTAAACTGAAAGAGGGGAGATTTAGATGAGATCTCAGGAAGAAATTCTTTCCTGTGAGGGTGGTGAGATGCTGGAACAGGTTGCCCAGAGAAGCTGTGGCTGCCCCATCTCTGGAGGTGTTCAAGGCCAGGCTGGATGGGGCTTTGAGCAACCTGGTCTGGTGAGAGGTGTCCCTGCCCATGGCAGGGGGTTGGAACTAGATGATCTTTAAGGTCCCTTCCAACCCAAACCATTCTATGATTCTTAAGAGAAGCGTACTTCAACATTGCATCCACAAATAGCAGGTTTTCATTGATGCCCCACAATGCATTGATGCCTTCCAACCCAAACCATTCTATGATTCTTAACAGAAGCATACTTCAACATTTCATCCACAAATAGTAGGTTTTCATTGATGCCCCACACATAGGAAACCACATGAAGCTTTTAACTGGGAATCCCTGTGTTTCTCTGGGCTGTAGCTCATCCTCTTGTGAGTCACTGGTTGTGGAACCCAGCTGTGACAGAGAGCAGGTACAAGATGTGCACGTTCCAGGTACCCAGTTACGTCTTGGCTGGAGTATGGTGACATCTTCCACAACATTTTTATCCCAACATCACTCATTCCATTAGCTAAGCACAATCCTATGCGCTGACCACGTTAATGTTTTAGGAAGGGAACAATCCTAGGTCAGATCCATCACATTCCCCCAAAGTACAATAGGAAAGAAAACCCACTCATTCACACATGGGCACGTTATCTACAGTTTGTCTTTGGAAGTCCAGGGTGGACCTTTTGGAGTCAGTCTGGAAGAGCCTCCGTAAGGAGCTAAGCACAAGGGATGAAGGTGGGTGTGATTTGTCACAGGAGCCTTTCCCTCATTCAGGATTGGAGGAGAAGAGGCTGGAATTATTCCTGGGACACCAGGGCAATCAGAGTGATAGTCCAGAGCACTTTTCAAGCATCCAGCACAGATTCAAAAGGTGCTGCTGCCAAGGAAGAATAACCCAATGCTCTTTCTTCCCCCTTCAGAGTTTACTTTGAAGCAACTGGCCTGATTTCAAAAAATACCCCTGGGTAGGGAACATTTAATAAAACAAAGCAAACAAGCAAATTTCAAGGGTCCTGATTTCCTGCTGCAAAGGTGCTGGATTACTCTGCAGCTACACGGAATGGTACCTGCAACAGCCCAGCATTTAGCAGGAGGTGCAGCCACAGAAAACCTCTCAAACACAGAATTAGAAAAAATTCCTGGCATGTGCAAATTCTGGGAGAGGTGAACTCTGTCCGGTCACGGTTATATGTTGCAAGAAGTTATAACAGAGGCAAGAGACCTGCCTGCATAACAGAGATCTGTGCTACCAGCTCCCTTACACATCTCCCACACAACAGGGATAAGTGGACTAGATGATCCCCAGAGGTCCCTTCCAACCCCATATCATTCTGTAATTCTGTGCTGTACAAGTGCCAAACCTGGTCATCTTTAGGACCCAGGCCCTAGCACAGGAAACCAAGTGCACTAAAATAAACCAATAAAAAAATAAAAATAATATTTAAAAAATTAAAAAAATAATACATAAAATAAAAATCATGAAAGGGAAGTAAAATAAATGGTCATCCATCCTGCAAAGGTATCAGAGCAGCCCAGTATATATGTTCACTGACAATAATAATATTCACATGATGAGGTTTGCTCTTTCAGTAGACACAGCTTCAAAAGACAACATGCATGAGCAAGACTCTCAGCTAACCTCAGGAGAGAAACCAGCTCTCTTACGGTTTAATTTGGTTTTCAGTGTTCCACAGATCCAAAGAATGCACAGCTAAAGACTTAACTGTGCATTCAAGATGTTGGGACTCTAAGAAGAACCATTCAAGATGGTTGGACTCGATGACCCTTCCAGCCATGAAGATTCTGTTAAAACAGCTACCTGGCTCTTTACTGAGGAGAATCACAGAATTGATATAATTTTTACCATTTGGAAACAACACTGTCTATTTGACTTGTTCAGAAACCTCAAACAAATCTAGTTGTCTACATTCGGGAACTGCGTTAGTGTAAATTAACCTTCCCTCTTCTGGACACCTAAGTACAAAGCCCCCATCACTAAAAACTGTCCTGATTTCAATATGAGTTCAGCCAGAACGATTATTTGGTTAAGGATTTATCCCTACTCAGCTGAAGAACACCTTCCTTCTTGCTACAATGACCTGCAAGAACGTAAGCCCTGGCTTTCTCTATTATCTGCAAAGTATTCTGAGTGTAAACATTTTAGCCATGAAGTTTATTAATGAAAGCACCCAGTCAGATGTGTTTTGTGAATACTAAATTCCATGTTGATATACACCTGGATATTTACTTGGGAGCAATATTTGTAGAAGAACTCTGAGCCTGGCGTTATACAGGACGCTTTGATTTTGTAAATGCTACAACTTTGTTGTTGATTAATTAATTTCTTTTCCATTGAGAAGTGTAAATTTATCTTTGAAGCTTCAATACCAGGAAAGTGTACTTTTTGCTACCCTGTACTCTTCTGCTTTAGGTGGGTGAGGCTGCAATGCATCCTCAGGAACAATTTTTTGCCCAATATTTCTGTTATAGTTGGGAATAGTGAAGAACTACTAAGGCAACTTTGACAGCAATAAGAAAACACCTAATTTAATGTACGAATTTAATGTATAAACCTGGATCCTATTGCAAGGTTCTGTACTACAACACTGTGCATTTCATCTCATATAAATGATATGCAAAAAAACCTTAATAGAGTAACAGCAGTTAACATACTTCCAGAGCTGAGTAATGAATGAAGTCATCAAGAGGCATCATTAAACAGAGGCAATGCCCAGAACGGGGGCGGAGCGGGGGGGGAATAAAACATGAAGTGAAGGAGCCACAAAGAGAAAAACTACAGGAAGGGCTTTCAGAGATGAAAAGGAAAAGAAATATTTAAATACAGGGAAGGCAGTTTTTATGAGGGAATAACCTGGCCAACAATTTTAGACAGGTAGCTGTGTTTGAAAGGTAAAAAGGTCTCATAGTAATTGAGCATCCCCTTCAGTACAGAACTAGTTTATTCTAATTACAACCATGCCTTGAATGTTTTTGTCAGCACAAATGCATCCTTGGGATGCGAGTCAGTGGGGTTATTCTGTTCACATCCTCCTTGATAGCTACGTTTTCCATTAAACTCACATATTACTATGGTTTTTATTCTTCCTGGAGTGTCTTATGTTAACGTCCTTTGCAGTCGATGTTTTGCTACTAACTTATACCCAGTCCCAACATGTCCCAGAAGGTTTGGGGCTGCTCAGCCAGAGCCTGTGGTATGGGGAGGGTGGGTTGGGAGCAGTGGGAGCCCTGGCACAGGTGAAAAAACCAGCCCCGGCAGCAGCCTGGACTCAATTTCAGCCAGAACACTAAAAATAGGAATCATATCACATGCTTTGACAAAGCCCAGATAAATTTTTCAAGCTTTTTTCTTATCGTAGCTGCCCTAAACATTTATTGTTTGCCCTGAATGTTTAACTGGAAGGTTTAAGAAATGTCCATTAAAATAAAACAACCCCTAAACAAAGGCCTGCTGCTGCTTTAGGGTGAGAAATTTTTAATCACGAAAGAAACCCAATATTATTCCCCTCTTGCTAACCTTTCCTTACTCTTTTTAGAGTC